TGGACAAAAGAAATAGCTAAAATGTTCAATGACCATATATGGTCATAGAACTCATTAAATATGCATATCCCTAATATCTTAGGCACTATTGCAAGTACAAACATGGAACCAATGCTATATTGAAGGCATTGGAAATGAGAAATGGCTAAAATGTTCAATGACCATACATGGTCATAGAACTCATTAAATATGCATATTACTAATATCTCAGGCACTATATCAAGTACAAATATGGAGACAATGCTATATTGAAGGCATTGAACAAGATAAATTGTTAACATGTTCAATGACCATATATGGTCATATAATTCATATAGTGTAATCAGTTCACCATACTGTGACTAGATCAACATACATTGTGATCAATTTGCCTACAGTATATAGTAAACGGATCACAGTACATGTCTCCATTACCCTAGATATCACAGAAGTGTAATGTCTTAACTCTTTTGCATGAACGCAATTCAGCGCTAATGCAGGCATAGCATCGAAAGCCGGTAATTGCTGCTTGCAGCTATATTTTTCTATTGTAATGTCAATTTCTTGTGATTACTCGGAAAATGAAGCTGTAACCACAGACCACAGTGCTGCAACTAAATCCTGGTATAAGCACCGGTTAGGCAGTCTTGAACTATGCATGTGAAGCCAGCTGAGACGTATATCCAATCCTATAGATTTCTCATTGTTTGGTAACTAATTGCTGCAAATGCAACAAAAATCAATATAAAAATATTACCCACACATCATTCTACAGGTTACTTGTTTAGTTAAGTAGTCTTTATTTCGACTTGACATCATTTGACAATTGTTTGCGGATCGCCAATATATTTTCTGTGCTATAATACTTAGGGTCCTTAATCCTGCCAGTGCTTAGTGTTGACAAGTGGTATGAATCCTACAAATTGTATAGACGAAAGACCGTTCGCATTATTTTGCTATGCATTCAGAAATATCTTACTACGCGAATATTGTGCAGGTAAGTAGGAGATTATCGGCGATGCCTGTTGTTTTCAAAATTACATTAAATTATCAGTGGCGGCGGCACAGGGGGGCAGAGGGGGTGGCCGCACCCTCAAAAAAATGTTGGGGGCGTCGCAAGTTCTAGTAAATCAATAAATATATATTATGAGTTATAAGTAATTAAATATAAATACGCCGTGTCTGTAAACGTGCGAGTTACTATTACATAAATAGGAATATGCCGTTTGTGTAACGTGTGGAACATCATATATTCGTATGAAAAAAAAAACACCCACGGACGACGATACGCCTGCATGTGAAGAAACGTGAACGAAAGGTCCGAGTTCCAAGCGTCCTACCGGTGCACGACATTTCGTCAAAAACATCACCTCGATTAACATTCATACATGAAGTTTTGAATTTGTAATACTATACGGTGAAAGAGATCGACGTGTGAGGGCGGAACATAAACAAAATGTCGACGTAATTGCTTGCACATTGATATCACATTGTGCATTTAAAACAAAGCAGAGCTATAAACACTTCGGAAAAAATTTCACAATGTCGAAAACCAAAAGTCTTTATCGCAATGTTTATAATATCCGTCGACTGGTTTGTCGTTTGAATAGGCTAATCAAAAATGTGTTAATTAATTTTAAATATCACCTATATCTAATTCATGCTAACAATTCCTCTGACACATATTATTTTTTTATTGTATTAAGGTTTGACTCCTTGAACTCCAAGAAATCATAGATGCAAAATATTACACAAACAATGTTGTCGGGAAATAAAATAACAAAATGTATTTACCTGAAAAATATATGCCTAAACTTAAGTCTCTAACCTGACCAACCCTTCTCCCTCCAAAATATAGTAGTCCATTTTTTTATGGCAAGTCATTCCCTATACTATCCTGGTGTTAACCAGGATAGACTGAGCACAAGCGCCCGCGAACGATGAGAGAACCTCACACAAAGTCCCCATAAAGTCACACCTTTCAGTGAGTAATTAACGAACAGTGGCTACCCCCTTCCCTTCATTTGAGTATGAGAATGATCACTTGTGAGAGTTCAACGCATGCTAGTATCTGGAATTCGGGGCCTACCGTATCCTGACGGGCCTGTTGAATATTATACTATACGACAATCCAACAAACATAGCTCAAACAATCCCCCTATACATCCAGTTATAACTTATGCCAAACGTCACTATCAGGTAAGACAGCGATCATAGTAAGAGAGGCATACTAAGAGGAGCTGCTGCTTAGTCGACCTGTCTTGAGAAACAACTCATGCAACTTCCTTATCCAGGGTTCTTTAATCACATGATAACGCAGACAATGCGCATGCGTGACTAGGCAAATTTACCCGAATACATGAGTAAACTATTCCCCGAATACAGCTGTGAATAATGAAAGGAAACAATTTGCTATATAGTAAACCATGACTCAGCGTTAACACGAAAATACCCGCCTTAAGAAGTTACTGACCTGGCGATGATGATTCATATCTCTTGTGTAGATTGCGCCGTATTCTATATTTAGACTGACATTTCCACGGGATTTTCCATGTTGCTAAGAATACCTCGGCAGGGTACTGATATGGCATGTGATATAGACACCCAAATCCGTCTTATTTACAAAAGATATTAATTGTAAAAATAACAATGAATTAATAATTAAATATAAAAAATATTCAACATACACGTATTTATTTATGGCCGTTAATTGATATAAAATATTAATCACTGTGCTGAATTAATTCGACCCTCGATCACAAATATACATACGCAGTATTCTATTTTCGTTATCAAACGTAAATTCAACATTTAATGCACACAAAACAGAAACAAATGTTTCATTTCATAATTGTCACGCTGCCAGGTTCATGGATTACATGCAAAAAACTACTCAACAGTCTACCTACACAATGTTCAACTTAGTCGCCCCGCCAGTGACCCAGTGTACCAAAATCAACAGTCTGTGACAAACCAGACGTTCGGGATTCTTTTTTATTGTCGACGTAATGGCTCTATAGATTTCGATATGTTTTCAAAACACAATTTTAGATGGGCCTGATCATTAACCGTTTAGTCTACTAGTTACTTTCACGTAGGTGGATGGTCACTTTCCCGTGGACGGCGTTTCGTCCGGATGTTGCATCTAGAATAACATCATACATGATTACGTATCTACTGCGCATGGCTAGTAGGTGCATGCGTTCTATATATAATCAGAGCAAGAACATATTTTGCTCAGTACCACCCTTTTGCAGCCAGACACAAAACTATGAAGCACACCCCGATTGTATTGCTGCCTCTGTTGCTGGCACTTGGTAAGTAGTGTACTAGGATATACCTCATGTAATTATTCCTTTATTATTTCATGAATATTGACGATTTCATAGCATCGTTGTGTCGCCGTATTCGCAAATGAGGGGCGTCACAAGAAAATATACTGTGACTCGATAATGAATATCCAGAAATTGACGGCTGATTATAATACTAGTATTTAAAAAGCACATCCCATGAAGAAATCATAAAATGGTAAATATGATCTCCATTAATGTAATGCTACGTCAATTGCCGACGATTCGGTTTATCGATGAGACAGATTGGCAAATGATGTTCGGAATTTGAAAAAAAAACTAGCAAAGGTATCGATTTCTGTTTGAATATTACTCATTCGTTCAGTAAACTACGACTAACGCGAACTATACGAGTGTTGTCGGTCAGTGACCTTGCACATGGCACATTCGTATTTCATTAGATCTTGTAAAATCTGTAATGGCCAGAGAGTAGTAATAATTGTATGCATTTACGTAAAATATATGAATGTTTTCTAAAGTTGGACATCACAGATATCACATCCAAATATTTACAATAATCATACAAAACATGACTAGGACAATGTAGACAGTTTATAGTTTATATACTAGTAGACTTTTTAGAGAAATATACGTAAAAATGCAATTTTGTTTAGAAACTCATGTCTTATATTATGCATGGGATCCATTTTACAATATTTTCCCCAGTAATAGTACAAATAAATATCACTGCCTGATGCACTCAGCGTGTTAGAAAAAAAAAAGGAACGTAAAAAAAAAAAAACAAGTCTCGAAGTTTCGAAGAATAGCCAGTCTTGTTCGTACCGAGGCGTTTATAACTTATTACAATGCATAATGTGCAAATATTTTTTTAACGTGCAAAGGAGTTCTCGATTCCCATTTACAATTGACACGTCTCTGGAAAATAACGTGTATAATTTATGTGATATTTGTGATTTTTATACCGTTAGCTTAAGGATGCTCTAAAGCAATGTGAGAGCTGTCTCCCGCGTTCCAACCACTCTGTGATAGGGTTTCGTTGATTCCAAGAATTGATTACTCATTGATTAACATATTAAATTACTAATACATGTAAGTACGCAACAAAACACAT